ATACATAACTTTATGGAGGCATTGGATGGCGTGTTGGGCAGAGGCCTCGACTTTGGTCGAAGAGAGCATCATACAGTGGAGTGGAGGCGTCGACCTCGGCTGCTGAGAGCTCTTCTTGGTAACCATGTGGCAATTAATTCCTTGTTGACTTCTCGCCTCTTTGGAGGATCATGGTGGGTTGAGAGCGCGGGACCGTGCCCGACATGGGTGCGAGGTGTCCATGTTTGTCGGCCTTGCTCCGTACAGGTGTTGTCATGGATCCGTGCGTGGACAGGCTTCAGTGTCGACCGGTCATAGTCGTGCACGAGACGGCGTAGTGGGTCGCCCGGCTTGGGTCGCTCTTGACCTGGAGTCGGCAGGCGGATTGGCTTGTCTTTTCGGTGTCATTTCGTCTTCTCGAGGTCAATGCCATGTGGCACGCGTCGGTTTAGGTTATCAGGTCAGTGGCTCCACAGCCGTTGGATCAAAGGGATCTAAGCTATATGTTTTTCTTTAAATAGGGTCACTGGTTGAGGCATTTCCCCACCATTTGCTCGCTTCCACTTGTGTTTCCAAAGACCTTGGTCACCAACCAGTCGATCCCTTAGTCTTCTTCTTCAAACTCAAACATTAGGTAAAGGAATTTTCCTCAAACCATGTCGTATTCAGATTCCAGACCCAAGTGTTATGATTTTCCTGACCTTAGTGACACCAGCAATCCTTCCACCTTGTCTAGTAGTGGGAGTACCGGTAGTGAATCCTCAAGCTCCCCTCGAGCACCTGGTGTTCAGGTACTAAGGGAAAGGACTGCCCTTGGAAGTGCTGAGTGCGACCAGCGGGGCAGGGAGTCTCCCGATGAAAGTACCGACTTGAGGCCAAGGGGCAACGCCATAGGGAATGCCTTAGCACATCCTGAAGTGGTGGAGTCAGAGGAAGTCGAGGATCCTACTCCTGAAGAGCTTGCCGAGGCCAAAGGCTGAAGCATGACGCTGATGCATTACCCACACTCCGATCTGGACAACAAGCTCGGTAAGGAGCAAGTGAGGGCTCTTTCCGAGATGTACCATATATGTAGGGACTATAGGGTTAGAGTCCCCAGCGTCGGTGACACACCGTGGCGGCCAACCAAGGGGGAGGTGTGTGTGCACGAGCACTACCTCCACTTCGGTCCCTGATTCCCTATACCTCCTCTTATCCTAGAGATCTTCAATTATTACAACGATTCCCTCAGTTAGTTAACTTCGAACGCGATTAGGACCATTATTTTCGTGCTGGTGATGGCCCGCCTTCGAGGTGTGTCCGTTATTATGAACATCTTCTGAAGTCTATTCGCCTTGAGGAAGCATCCAGGTGGAGCCAGCTTGTGGTACTTCCAGGGCCAACAAGGTAGAGTAGTGGACAACCCGTCGTCCATCCACAACTGGAAGAAGAAGTACTTTGTATCCTGTTCGGAAGGATGGTCCTTCAGGTTTGACTGGGGAAGCTAGATACACTGGCCGAGAGGATGAGGCCATATAATAATGAGGAGGAGCTGGCCATGATGAATTGAATACGGCTGACAGGGACGATTCGCACCGAACCCCTAGTAGCAGAGGAAGCCTTGGTGTGGGCTGGTCTCAGCCCCGCCCGCTTCGGTATGGGCACTTCTGTTGTCGACTAGTTACGTCGTCTTCTCAGTTTATTTTGTCATTCTTTTGACTTATTCTTTGTTTGTTGCAGAAATGGACGGTGGCATGAAGGATCGTCTCATGCAAATGGTGAAGTCCACCAAGAAGGGCTCGGCCGAGGGGCCATCAAAGAGGCCCATTCCAAAGGAACCGCCTTGGGCAAAGGCCCCAACCGAGGCGCGTTCCAAAGGAGCTGCCAGTGGCTCTCGACAGTCGGGGCCTCATTGTCGACTCGTCGAGTCTTCCACCTGAACTGGAGTGTCAAAGAGGGTAACACACTCAGCAACCCCGAAAGTCAGTCGAGCTCTGGTGACGAGGATGCTCCCGACAAGGGGCTGGTAGTCCTAAGTGACCATCTAGGGGATTCAGAACACCCTACTGGATCGATTGGTCGAGGTGATTGTCGTTTGCTTTCCTTTCTGATGGAGGTTTGTTCTTTGTAGACATCTTCCTACGCCATCGGCCTATGTGACAAGGTAGAGGTCCTCCTTCAGTAGATCAGGACTTCTCAAGAGGAGATCGACAACTTAAAGCGTCAGTTGGTCGAGGCGTGCGCTGGTCGAGAGGCCTCGATTGTGGCAGCTCGTGAGGAGAGCGATTGCTGAAAGGAACTTGAGGCCGAGGTGTCGATGAAGAGGGAGCAGATGAGGGATGCTAGAGCTTCTTTGGACGAGGCTAAGGAGAAGCTCAAGGAGGCAGAGCAGAAGGCGCAAGAGGCCTCGGTTTGGGTCGTGAAGGAGTTCAAGGCCTCTAAGGCCTATAAAGACGAGATGGCCAAGTTCGATGTCACTTCATACTTGGAGGGAATCAAAGATACGAAGGATCAAGTGTTGGCGCTTCAGTCAGACTTCAACATCAGCCAACTAGGGATTTAAACTTCAAGCAACCAAGTGGCCGAGGCGATGGGACCAACTGAGGTGGTGGAGCCAGCCGAGGGCCAAGTCGGCCATGAGTAGCCTACACAACCAGAGGTAGCCAACGAGTGCGTGGACATCAAGATGTGAAGTCGCTCTTACAGGGTTGGGACGTCCTTCGTACAACTTTTGTTTATCCTCCCCGTACAGCTTCAAGTTTTTTGTTTTGTTAACTTTTTGTATGGGTCTCAACCTCCCCCATCCGAGGTCGATTTTTGTGAAGTGCAAAGGAATGAAATGAAAGATACACCAAGTTTTTTGCAAATTTGTGCCTTCTCTCTTTTTCTTTCTTTTTACTTGTGTTTTTCTTTTTCTTATTGTGTCAGGGGCCAATGCCCCCCTTTGAAGAGGCAAAAGTTGCAAAAAAACTTACTATCTTTTACTTAACTACTTGCTTAGGATTTCCTATTAAGGTAGTTAGGCCGAGGCCGAGCTTTGCCGCCAAGGTCTTAGGGCCCCTTTCCTTAGCGTGAAGGGAAGGGAGGCGACTGCCTTAGCCTTCTTAGCCTATCCTACTTTCCCATTAAGGCAGTTAAGTCGAGGCGGAGCTTTGCCACCAAGAACTTGGGGCCCCTTTTCTTAGCAAGAAGGAAAGGGAGGTGATTGTCTTAGTCTGCCTGACTTATCCTTCCTTAGGGGCTTGGAGAATGAATTTGCACGTAGCCGAGGCCCAGTGAATGATGCATAACCGAGGTTGCGGAGTACCTTTGCCTTAACGAAATAGTATTGTTCATTTTAGTGTGTCTATTCATCTAAATTTACATTAGGTGGTTGGCTGATGTCATAGACTGATACCATGACCGAGGTCTTAAAAGTTCTTTGCCATGGCCGGAAGGCGAGTAGGATATGACTCTTTAAGAGCCATCTGCCTTGACCGTCGTGTGTCGTCGGACTAAGCACACGCCACTGGGATAACACCCCCTGTTGCCTTGGCAGCAACAGGTTCCATGTTGGTGCTATATCAATTTGTAATTAATTACTTAAGAGAGTGTATAAAAAGATCCTATTCCTCTTAGTGCACCATCCTCTAGACTTTTCTATTTTTTTGGGTAAATAATCAAGACTTATTTCTTATGAGTCAGAGGAGAAGAGATGATTGAGGAATGTAATAGAAACTTTTTTTACCATTCTTATTTCTTTTTCCATAGTTGGCGATGAGATGGTATTTCTTCAAAGCCAAAACAAAGCATGCAAAATAGAGAACAGGCATCCTAGTGACATCGGGATTTGATCCAAATGGCACCGTCAAACCCCCCAACAAGGCAGGGTGTCTTTAAATTTTTTTTCCCCATGAAATGGTTTCAGTGAGAAGATTTGCCTTATATACAGAAAAGACCTGGCCTGAATTTGGATATCTTTGACTTGGAGGGATGAATTGATTAGACCTCCACATGAAGGGAGGAAGGCCTTTCACTCATAATAAACACTCTCCTTCAAAGAGGCTCTAAACCATGTGAAATGCCTTGATAACCTCTCTCTCTCTCTCTCCATTTCGTAGAATTTCATGAAAAAAAATATAGATTAAGAAAAGACCGGATTCTTTAATATTGACCAAGGCAAGTTTTTGTTAGACAAACCATCAATGTATATACTTCGGCAACATGAGTTGCTGCACATGGTGGCCCCCTTCTTCACCTACGATTTCTATTTTGTTAGACCACTTCAAAGGTTCAAATTAAATCCATTATATTTAATTATTATAAAACAACAACATATAGTTTTTACATTCTTGTTTACGTGGGTCTTATTACAATTGCCATCTGTCCAAAACAAACCACGTAAAGTTGACATTTTTTACCGCCATCAACCATTGTTTCCAACGCCCTCTAAATGAAAACAGTAATCAGACAAAGACAAAGAGATGTATTGACATTTAATTATTTGTTTTCTTCTTGTGATTATTGTAAACATAATTGATTAGTTGGGATTAGCCGGCTTTGTTTGATTGAGGCTTAGTTATTATTAGAACCGATCAAGGCCTAAAGATAAAAGTTGTCGAGTTAAAACAGGGTTATTTTAATAATTTATAAAAATGGTTATATAGATATTTAAAAAACTGGTGCACCATTCTAACGTTTTCCGTTCGGAAAACGTAATGAAAAGAAAGTTTTTGTTGAATTTTTTAAAAATCTAAGAGAAATATTTGTTAAAATAAAATTATAAAGGGGTTTTATGATTGTCAGAAACTTCAGGAGAGAGGTTTTTACGTTATCCTTTCTTTGTTTTTCAAATAATTTCTTTTTTTAATTCTTAAAGCGATCCTTTGAAAAACATTAACGGCGGTTTGTTGAGGTTTTAGCTTGTGATCGCCCAGGTTCTTCATTTTTTTTTTTTTGGGGTTTTTAGCAGATAAAAACAACTTTTTGCCATTGCCCTAAATAACAATAAAAGATAATATTTTTATAAAATAACAAAATTAAGATAACTTTTTCTGAAAAACTTTAAGAAAGGGCAATGATATTGTTCATCGTCTTCCTCTATCACTATATTCATCCGAATACACCGTTCATGCGAGAGGCGGAGCAGGACACAGGTGGTTGTGACGTTGTTGCCATTGCTACCCTAAAGAGACGGCAACACCGTTATCTTTCGCGGTTGCTGTTCCGGTCTCAGGCGGTCGTGACTAAAACGTGAAAATTGCACAGGCCTGTGACCAGTCCCAAGACTAAAACAGCAACCGCACAGGCGGTCGTAACGTTGTTGCCTGGAACGCGAAGGAAAACGGTCACGACCATCACAAACGCCAGCTATTGAAGGGAGAGGAAGAGGAAGACGATAAACCGCTACAGAAGAGAAAGACGAAGACGATGACAGAGGCAGAGGAAGACGATGCTTAGATCATCAAAGCTCCGTCCCTTCATATTAGATCGCCGCTTGCAGTCACCTATTAAAAACCAATCACATAGGCAGAGGAAGAGGAAGAGAAAGACAATAAACAGTATCATTGCCCTTCCTTCATATTTTTCAAAAAAAAAAAAACTTTATTTTAATTATTTTATAAAAATATATGTAGGGCAGAAAGTTGTTAGAAACCCTTTTCTTAAACCAAGGGCACAAGGTAGACTGCGTAAGGCCCTCTGTTGTCTTCATCTTCTTTTTCTTTGCGCTCCCCTCTTCCCCAATTATTACTGTTTTGGGATTTGCGTTGATAAAATTTCCATAATTTATCACGCGCCTAGTGTTTTTGGGGATTCGGATTTTGGTAGGCCTTGAGTTCTATGGAAGAGAAAAATATGCTTTTGGAATTGCCAAGCTAGTCAGAGATTTTCGAATATTTTATTTTGTTAACCCTTTATTTATTAACTTGTCATGGATTCAATATCTAAGCAATATTTTAGGCTCTTGTTTTTGTTTTTGCTTTTCTTTTCTGGAAAACATAGTTTTTTTCTTCTTTAAAATTTTCCGGGAAATGGAAGTAAGTTCTTATGAGTTATGTTTGAACAGATTTGTAGCAAAGGAAAAAGGTTATAAAACAGAGTCGATTTCTTCGTAATGATGGCATTGAACTGAACTAAAGATACCCACCTCCCTTGTTAAACTTTAGCGGATTTTCTGTGGATTTACGTTGAAGAAGAAGATTATATTGTTTTTACAAGGTTTATCTTTAACTGTAAATAATGAATAAACATTTCCGTTCGAAGGTTTGTTTTTCATTCCGGGCAAAAAAAGAAAGTGAGGGTGAACAAGAAAATAAATTGTTAAAAGAGGCTACAGAATGGTGCCAAAAAAACGCTGGATTTGCCCTATTTATCGCCTCCAAAACCGGCTTTTCATTAGTGTCGGACAGTCGGAGGAGTGAAAATGTATGAGAAGTGAAGCTAACGCGTTACAAATTTTTAACCCAGTCTTAGGCCCATGCGACCTTTATTATGCCTTTTGCATGGGGTTCCCTGAACTCCACATATATATAAACTTTCGGCACACGATCCGTTGCACTTCAAATTTCAACGAAACCTTCTTCCGCTACTTCTCCTCCTTCTCTAGAGTCTCCCTTCTGGATCCTCTAGCTGTATATCTCTTTCTCCTCATCTGGGTTAGTTTTCTCTCATTCTCTCCTGTCCATTGGATACTAGAACTGGTCTGTTTTTCCATCTGGTATTGCTCTCAGCTCCTTCAACCATCCTTCATGGTATTGGAGTTCGTGTAATAATGTATAAACTTTTATTTTTTTCAAGTGGGGCGGGGCTGTTTAATTGTTTCCATCGTTTCTTAGAAGTTGGACTTCCGAGAAGGATGGTTTTATTTAGTTCTACAATTCGTTGTCCATAGATTTTTCCCTACCAATTCGTAGAGATTGATACTAGTGCTTCGACTTAATTGGGTTCCGGAATGAGTTGATTATTGATTGCATAGCTTTCGGTTTGGGTTCGGATTGGATTTCAAGTTTCGGCTCCGTTTCTAGGACGATTTTGACTTAAAACTGTGTACTCTGTTCTTGTTTGTATATAAAATTTCTGTACTAAAATGGGTTTAGTTCGGGCGCCCACTATGAGAAGTGGAGATTACTTGGAAAGGATGATCAATGAGTATGTGGGTGGAAAGGCAAAGATGAGAGTTCACAGAAGCACTTCTGTGCGCCTTTTCGCTTCTCTCACCTTTCTGCAATTCGCCTTTGCAGTCTATGCCACTTTTCTACTGTATTACATGAGTCCTGCCGTAGATTCACGCACAAAACCGGACTTCGCATGGGCCGGCCGTATTGCCAACCACTGGAAGCAGTTCATTGTCCAACCCCATATTCTCAGACGTTACCAAGAAGCCCCTGCCCTCCTTGGAGCTGAAATTCCATCTATCACACCATCTGTGGTCTGTGAGCATGAGAAGATTGATTTTGTACAGAAGAAGTCGAATGATACCCAGATGATCAAGTTGAAGAGGGAGCTCTACAATGAGGTTTTGGAGTTCCAGAGCAAGACAATTGGGACAGAGACTCTCTCCCAGCTGATGGCTATGAGCTCAAAGTGGGATATGCGAGGTCCAAACATCCCAAAAATCACTGTCATATTAAACCATTTCAAGAGGAAAACACTATGTTCGCAGCTCAACTCCCTGCTCCAGCAGACGCTTCCCTTCCACAGCGTCTGGGTCCTCTCATTTGGGAGCCCGAAGGAACTCTCTCTGAAGAGGATTGTGGAGAGCTATAATGATTCGAGGATCAGCTTCATCAGTTCGAGCTATGATTTCAAGTATTATGGAAGGTTCCAGATGGCCCTTCAGACAGAAGCCGATCTTGTCTACATCCTCGACGATGATATGATACCTGGTAAAAAGATGCTACAGATATTATCCCATGTGGCAGGAATAGATAAGTATAAAAATTCTGTTCTGGGAAGCATAGGGAGGATCTTGCCTTTCAGACAGAAGGACTACACGTTCCCAAGCTACAGAAAATTCCGTTCCAAGGAGGCAGGACTTTATTTGCCTGACCCTGCCTATGGTATCATAGTTGACAGGATTGTGCAGGTGGATTTTCTCTCTAGCTCATGGTTTTTATCGGCTGAGCTTGTTAAAACACTTTTTATAGAGACACCATTTACCTTCATGACGGGAGAAGATCTGCACCTCAGGTACTTGGTCATTTTGAATAAGCCTTCTTCGTTTTATTCGGTTCAATTGTCAATCTAAAAGAGAAATTTTCAACAAATTATTGAAACCATATTTTAATGTTATAAGAAATGAGGCTATGAGCAATCTTCAATGAGTATTAATTGCTTAATGAATACTGTAGCCTGTAGGTTTCGTTTGATTCATATTGGTTCACCAACAAAGTTATTGTTTATTTAGGTTGGTCGATTCTTCAATTTAAGAATAAGCTCAGTTCCTTTTCCAATTTCCAACATTTTTCTTTATTTCCATGGATAATGGTTGGGTTAGTAGTAGGAGCAGTTTGCTCAATTTTATATAGTGTATTTCTGCAGTCTGATTTTGCTTCATTCTTCATGGCCTCAAACCATGCAGCTATCAACTTCAAAAGTACAGAAATGCGGGATCTTTTGTTCTCCCAGTTGACCCAAATGACAAAGAAACCTGGGGTGACAGTGAACACAGGCTTGCCTATGTGTCCGAGACCACTGTAATCTTCAAAGACATTGTTCAAGTCAGAGATGATCAATGGTGGCGAGCCCTCTCCACAGGTTACGTGACTCAGTGGGCAGCAATGTATCCTCAGAAAATAGATGCACTCTTTTACGCTCATTCTCTTGATGAGGTAAAAGCACTTGCACCCCTTCTTGAAAAATTTAGGTCCACTGCTGGCAAGAAGGCTTATATTGCCCTCTCAGGAGGTCGTTACTGTCCTTGTGAAGAAGCTGCAACTGCTCTGAACTGGCCCAAGTCGGTTTGCAAAGAAAGAAGATTCAAGATTTTTTATTTGGGAATTATGTCTCTTTCCGGTGTCTCAGATTCAGAGGTACCTCTCTTGCAAGCTGTATACTCAAGCATGAAAGGGTTGCTTAAAATTCACAATCCTAGTGTGCTGATTACTGTGGCGGATATTGATTTAAATGTGAAAAAAGCTCTGGAAATGGCATTGGAGGCTAGTCCAAACAGTTCAACCCTGGTTCTTCTACCAAGATCTTCTGTGCCCAAAGTTCTCTGGATGGCTGATCTACGTTCAACAGCATTACCAAGTAAGAATTGTGTCTTCTGCCACAGACATTTTTATTTCTTAATTAGTAAACTAAAAACCAAGGAAAATTGTCTGTTTAATCAAGAATTGAAGTTAAAATTCAACGTAATTTGACAATATACCAGCTCAAATCAACTTGAAACTCAGCATGATTCTCGGTTCATCTCTTTGAGTTTCTAAATTGCATAAATGACTTGGGCGAACCTTGTTTGCTTGTTGATAGTTTTGATTGAATACAGTTGCTTGGGGTGTAAAATATTAAATCAAATTGATAATCCTCAGGGCCCATTCGTTTTTTGGATTTTGAGAGGGGGGAGGTTGGTCAATGGGATTTTGGTTCCTATTGACCGAGATAGCCATGTTCCTTTTTCAGATTTATTTGGGGTCCATGGAAAATTCATTTTCCCTGGCTCTCACTTACCCTGGATAAGTGATACCATACCCACCTGGGGGAATTGCCAACACTTGGAATGGATAAAATTGCCCCTCTTAATAACGACTTTTTATGGCTACAACAGTCATTGTCTTATTTACCTGGGAAATAAATGAACATCGGTAGCATTTACCTGGGTAAGTAGCTTCCTGAAAAACGAATGAGGCCTCAATGTTAATCTCTACTTTGATCATAAATTTCTCATCCACATGCAAAGTCATGTTTCTTGGTCAAAATAATTGATTTAGATCCTTAAATGCTTATCAAATTCTCAAAACATGGATTCTAACAAATTTCCTGTACTTGATTTTAATTCTCAAGTTTCTTCAAATGGGATATGTTTTCATTCAGATTGATCTGACCTAAAAGTTGTTTAAAGGGCAACCTATTTTGCTCTCTACTACTCCATATCCATAGTGGAAATGATATAACCAATTCAATCATTATTACATGCAGATTGGAGTCGGATGAGAATCTCTGTTAACATCATTACCCAAAACCGTGCTCCTTCTCTGAAAAGGCTTCTCAAATCATTGAGTGATGCTTACTATATTGGGGATGGGATTCCTATTAGCTTCAACATGGACAGCAAAGTGGATGAAGAGACTCTGAGGCTTGTGAACTCATTCCAGTGGCCCCATGGCCCCAAAACTCTAAGAAGAAGAATCATTCAAGGAGGGCTTATCCGAGCTGTGAGTGAGAGCTGGTACCCATCATCTGATGATGACTACGGCCTCCTACTTGAAGATGACATTGAAGTATCTCCATACTACTATATATGGATTAAATATGTTCTCTTAGCCTACCACTATGATCCACAAGTCTCCCTTCCTGAGCTCTCCTCAATCTCTCTCTACACCCCAAGATTGGTTGAAGTAATGAAGGAGAGACCCAAGTGGAATGCAACTGAATTCTTCAAACACATACATCCAAACACACCTTATCTCCACCAGTTGCCTTGCAGTTGGGGTGCAGTTTTCTTCCCCAAGCATTGGAGAGAATTTTATGTATATATGAACATGAGGTTCACAGAAGATGCCAAGAAGAACCCAGTTCAAATTCCAAAATCTAGAACAAATGGGTGGCAAGCCTCGTGGAAGAAGTTTCTTGTTGATATGATGTACCTTAGAGGTTATGTCAGTCTGTATCCAAATTTCCCCAACCAAACAAGCTTTTCAACAAACCATATGGAACCTGGCGCTCACATTAGTGCAAAGGATAATGTTTTTAGACATGATAAGTCAGATTTTGAAGTGCCACTTTTGATGGAGGACTTCCGGGGATTGTTGCCAGGAGGGAAGTTGCCTCCAGCGTCAAGATTGCCCTCATTGAATCTCTTCAACCAGGCTGTGTCTCTGAAGGGACTGAAGCTAGCAGGAGCAAAACTGGGGCAGGATGTGATTGGTTGCAATAATATGACAGAGATTGTGGTTGTTGATAATGAAACCGGTCTGCCTAGCCGGTGTGCAAAATTATGATATCATTCTTTTTTTTTCTTTTGCATATTTGTTGGTTTAATCTTTCGTAATTGGGAATATGGAAGAACTAGTGGGATTCAGAGGTGGGTGCTGTTTCTTCCTTACTTTGATTCCTCAGGGAATGAAAATTCTTGGAGGTAAGGGAGGGTATAGTTCTATTATTGTGTTTATTAAACCCTCTCTTGGGGACGATTTCTCATCAATGTAGCTAAAAGTGGCCCTACTAATTGGAATTTAAGGCTTTACTTATGGGGATGTCTGTCCCTCTCATACATGAACTTGCTAGCTGGTCACAGATGTACCTGTACTGCTTTCCTTTCTTTTTTTCTTTTTTTATTTTTGTGTTACAAATGGTGGTGTCATGGTAGTTCATACACAATATAAGGAGCAAATACTCTAGTGTATTTTGTAGCAGATCCAAAGTGCACAGGAGGTAAGGTGTGGTGGGTTTTAGTGCTTGAAAATTGAGTAATCCAACTTCTTGTCACAGTTACATGGTTTGTAAACAGAAGACATTACAAGTTAAGATGTATTTGGCATAATGGTATCTGCCATTGCATTGAAGCATAAACATTAACCAACAGTGCAATGCATGATTCTTCATTTTTCAATTAAATGTATTTGGTAATGGCATATGCTGACTAGGTGTTTAAACTGATATATTTCTTAGTATTAAAATTATATTACAATCATAATAGGACAACTCAGGACGTATTTGGTTTGTGGTTGTGTTTGTGCTTCATCTGGTTCATGAACATGCTGCTATTGCTGGTTTTGGAATACAAATACGTCCACTGAAAAACAAGGTTTAGAAATACAAAATACGTGTTTTTGCACTGTACATATTTGTATTTATACTCTTTCCAAACTGAGCCATAGGCATTTTTTTAATGCAACTTTTTATGGCTTTCTCGAACAAGCAACATAGTTCATTAATGAAAGCATGACATGGAAGTTGTATGGTGTGTTTCACATGCTAATATGGTTCCTAGCATAATATTTTCTACTCAATAATGGACACCAACCTCTTTTGGATTGTATATTCTAAACAAAAAATAACAATAAAGCATTATCCTTGTTAAAAAAATGGTGTGGTTTTGGAACCATGCTACCCTTTTTCAAAGCCATGAACCAAACACCATCTCAGTGTGTGAATAGTCATAACAGAAGCAAGAAGAATAGAAGAGGAGACCTACCAACCTGGTATACCAACTTCCAACTGAACTTCCTTTCCATTCATACAGAGTTTTAAGCTGAACTTTGATGGTTGTTCTGTTGTGAACCTGGACCATCTGTAGTGAGTTGTGGACTTAAAAATTAGCTTTATCTTCAGGCTGAAATGGACAAACTGTTCAAGGGGACTATTGAGTGGTAATTGGGTGGATGACAACAATGATTGAAGGTCAATGGATCCTAAGATACCAGATTCACGAAGGGAAGGCATTGGGTTCTAGGTTAAATGGATCCGTTAAGGTGGGTTCCTAGATCAACCAATGACCTTTCTGATTCTCTTGCAGGAAAAGAGTTGGGTAGGACTTCTTTAGTATGAGGGGAGCACCAGGCACTGGAGTTTAAACCAAGATGCTTGGTACAATTTTTCTCCAATCTGTTGCTTCTGTTATGAATTTGAGTCATCTGCATGCTGTGTGCATGTGTTCCTTCTCTTTACTTACCTTTCAGTATATGTGTTTCTTATCTTATTTCTTTTATTAGTAAAGTTGTTTTTATCATTGTTACAGATAAAAATGTACAATGCATCAACATATATGGACTTCAATATTTGACACCACATCATTTGCTGGTTACCTCCATGTGTTTATCACCTCAGAGATTTCTACATGGAGCAATGTTAAATCCAATTTGGTTTACATATTACTAATACTAATCATAATAATGTCAATATTTGTATCCCAAACTAGATATTTCTACATGGTGGAGTAATGTTGGTGATTTGAAGCAAATATTAACCTGGAGAAGTTTTTCTTCCATTTGGATACTGGCTTCACTTATATAGTTTGATGTTTTTTGAGGTAATTTAGAGTGAAAAGGTTGTTGTAATGGATTTTTAGATTGGTGAATTACCTTGCACAAAGGGAATTTAATGTTTCTTGTTGGATAGGGTTGAATTTCCAATGGAATTTGAACTTCTTGTTGTAATGGGACTAGGAGTGTAGTTTCTTAGATTCTGTTTCATGTATTTGCAGAAAAGTTGTTAGTTGATGCATGATATGCTCCAAACATTTGTTTGTTTTTGTGACCTCTTTCTATTTGGTACAGGTTTTGATGGGAAAGATCTCAACAGGGGCCCAGAATGACTTGGAGAAAGTAACCAAAATGACCTATGCCCAAGTAGCAGTTGTGGTTTCAGTAACAAGGAGGGTCTTCTCTCCTTCCCGCAGAGGGATGATATGCTTGAGAGAGAGAGAGAGAGAGAGAGAGAGAGAATTGGGTTGCTTTCATTTTTCAATTTGACACATTTTAGGGAGTGTTATAGCATACAATGCTCACCCCCTGCCCCCGAAATGCCAAGCAACAGATAAAAAACATAGTGCCAAACACCCTCCAAGAGTAAATCTGTTTTCAACAAGAGAGAGAGAATACGAAGAATACTGATGAACTGTGTTTCTAGGTAAGCCTATCCATGCAAGAATGTGATATAGTCATTTTGACAATCATATGAATCAACCACTCAAAATCAAGATAAGGACCCCTAATTACATGGCATGCAGGCATGATATATGTTCATGCTTATACAATTTTGTGCTTGGGAATGGGTATTATGGATTGGGCAGGTTGTGGCTAAATTCAAGTTTACCAAGCCTGATCTAGAACACTAAAAATTCCAAGGCTGTACAAAAACTTGGATTGATTTGGGTTAGACTCAGATTGGCCCATGATCACTCCTATCTGCTAGTGGCAGAAGAAGTAGACGTGTAGGGCATAGGTTATGGGTTCTAATGGGGACACGTAAAACCATCAAGGCATCAACCATGGGAAGAATAACCTTCCCTTGTGTTTTGAGAATTTGAGCCTTGCAAAAAAAAAAAAAATCCTTCCTTCACCTTTCAAATGAAGAGGCAAACACATCCCTTCCATTTAATTTTCTCATGGCATATGCTGATGTAATGTTTAAACTTTTTAAAATCCCGGTTTTATCAGGGAGAAGTTTTATTAAGAGGAAGATTTACCCTAAAAACTTTTTGAAATCACAGTTTTACTTCTGAGAAGCTTTATTGAGAAATAATCTGATAATTTCTTTATTAATTTTTTGTTTGTTTTATTAATTTTAGTGAATAGTTTGTTTAACTTTATAATTTATCATTAATATTTTATTAATAATATAAATTTTATTTTTATTAAATTAATGAGTTATATTTTTTTTTACTATTTTTATGTATGTATTTTATTAACTTTATTATTATTTTACTTTTATTATTAAATTAATTACTTTATATTAATTTTGAAATATATATACTTTTTAATCACAACGGTGATGAGGGCATAGTCATAATTTTAACCCCAAGAATTGTCTCATGATTCTTGGGGTGGGGAAAGTTCAAAAAAGCTTGTTATGTAACCAGCCAATCAAGAGCTTTCCTAGGAAACATTTACCTGGGTAAGTGCATTTTCTCATGTTCTTTTATTTCCTAGGTAAATAAGGTAATGACCATTTTAACCATAAAAATTCATTATTGAAAAGGACATTTTTGTCCCATTCAAGTGTTAACAATTTTCCCCCTAGGTGGGAAAGTTATTTATCCACCTAAGAGATGGGTATCACTTAAATCTGAAAAATGAACATGGGATTATTGGTCAATGGGAACCAAAATCTCATATTGACCAACTTTCCCCCTCTCTCAAAATCCAAAAAAAGAACACCCCCTTAATTTTAAGTTGGTATGCTATGGTTCTCTATTATATTTGGTTTGCTCATAATGAATTTCGCTTTAAGACTGTGTTTGGTTTGAAGGAAAAAATAGGAAAAGGAAGGAAAGTATAGGAAAACCTATACAAACCAAACACAGCCTAAAGGAAAGAAGATATTGATTAATTGGATTATCATGAGAATTAAAAACTTGATGAGAACCATATCTACCATATCCTTACCTGATATCACGCCTCCTCAAGAGGTGCCCCACAAGAAATTCTCGTTGGCAGTGAAACCCCAAACTAATATCATTATATTTTCAGATGGGGGCCTTTCTAATGAAAATGCCTGTACTTTTGGAGCAATCTGTCTCACCCCATTTCTCTCCTGTTTAGGCATTATCGGTGGGAAGAAGCTGGCGTGGGTCAATAGAGAAAGCTGAACTTTGGGCTATCTAGGGTGCTGTCTCTTGCATTCCAGTTCTCTTTTGGGTCATCTCTTGGTGTTGCACTGGTGTTGCCTGTGCGCTAGAGAATAACGTGTTATTGCACTGGTGTTGCCTGTGGCTTTTACAAAAGACCAGAATTCTGCTCCAATCTTTTTTGTCCATGCTTTTCAAAATCGAATTGGACCAGACGGTTAGATCAGAAAAATTGGGACTGGTTTCGTTTTCCCTCAAAATCATTAATTTTGGTCAGCAAATCGTTGAATCAGCCGGTTAATCATTCGAACCGTTTAAATAGTTTTAACTATTTTTTAATTTTTTTTTTGTCAGAACGGGCCTCCAAACAATCAAACCGTTTGAACTGGTAATCGGACCCTAACTGATTCAGTCACCGATTCGTTTTTAAAAACTATGCTTTTGTCTATTAGCCAATGTTTTGTAAATAGAAAGTTTAACCAGCCAGCATATATAATGGCCCATAAGGCCAAAACTCTGAATCAGAAACTTTTCTATTTTGATAGTTATCCGCCCTGGATACCAGATATAAATAATTATATTTCTCTTTCGTTATTATAATATAATTGGTTTAGTTAATAATTATAAAGAAAAAGTAGTTTATCTTTATAAATTGGGCAATTTTTTAAACTAACCCTATTGTTGCTAATTGATAAACTGTACCATTTTTTGTTTAATTGTCTTACAATATCCTTGAGTTTTTTGGAATTGTCTAAAACCTCCAGAATACTAACACGGTTGACGGAATTATGAAAAAGACTACTTTACCCATTATTTTTTTTAATTTTCACAATAAAACATAAAAAAGGAGAAAAAAAGAAAGTTTCCAAGGAAAATGAAAGATTCACAAAGAATAAGTGACAGCATTCCCACACAACCAAGGCAAACCAACGCCACAAGGAAGAGTAAGTCGGACTCGCAAGGCAATCACCCCTTCCTTCCTCTTCTCTCCCCTCCAACTCCCCAACCAAAGCAACTTCCTTCCTCTTTCCTCTCTCTCTCTAACAACTCAGTCTCGCTCTCTCTTTACCTGTCAGAGAGAAGTTTCGGGCGACGAAGTCCGGCAAAAGTCCTAAAGACTAGACCCCCACCGCAACCTATTCCGCCGCCTCGTCGGCGAACTCCGACGCCTTGTCGCTCAAAACCATCAATGCCCATCGAAGTTCTAGAGAGATGCTCCTCCGAATTGATCCTTTACACCGTCAGGTTGGCCTTGAGCGACGACGAAAATCGTAGTACTTCAAAATCTGATGTTCTACTATATCGCCTCCAGACATGTATGGAGTGTTCACAGCAGCATCGTCTCCACTTATATCTCCGTCTCCCTCTTATCATAATATCAAGGTACAGCAAGTCAAATCTCTTTCACTCATCTCTATATTCACAAAATATAATTTCTTATATCTGTGTTCGAATTCCGACTCCGAGCTTCGATTTAGACTAAATTTGGGGGGTGGTGAAAATGCAGAGATAGAATGAAAAAGCGAAGGTGGTCATTCGGTTGCCATCCCACCATCGCCTGGTCCATTCCTGTATCACCACCATAGTTTGGGCAGTGGCCCATGGTTCCACCAACCCATTGTTAAAGTCACCTGTATCGCCCTCGTTCTCTACCATCAGAGTCCTCTTCTCCACTGTCATGTAGCAACGGAGAAGATTTATGTCTCCCAATTGTGGAATCGTCTAGTCCATTAATGTCGTATGTGATAGGTGGAGCCTACCAATCGGGTCGTTGAAAATGGGGCTTTGTTCGCCGGATTCAAGTTGGATTAAGAGGAGAGCTCCCCTGTTCGCCTAATGGTGAACCGAAAAAGAAGCTTAGTGAACTCATCGGAAAATGACTTTCGAAGTAGTTCTGGTAATAGAAAAACGGGGGCGTCGATTAGAAGCTCAGTCAGAGAGAGAGAATCGGTGAGAAAGAGGAGAGAGAGGTCGGAGTAGGAAGAGGTCGCCGCCGTTGGTTAGGTGTCGAGAGGGTTGGAAGGTAGTATTAGATTTTAAAAAATTACTAGTGGGGTGCACGTGCGTGTATGTTTCAGTTGCCAAGGTGTTCACGGTCCAGTTTAGTGCGATCTAGAGAAAATCTCTAAACTGGTAAATTACGGTTTGAGAATTTTTTAAATCAAATCAAACCGTTTTATTACAATTTGGTGCGATTTTTAATTCGGTTTGCGGATTTTGGGCCATTGTATGTTCTTTTGGGTTTGACCCAATTAGAAAGCTCAAATAGCTCCAATAAAACTTAAAAACTTTTATTTATTATTTTATTATAAAATAAAGCATTCATTATATATTTATAATTTTATGTATTTCATTATATATCATATATTCATATTATATATAATTTCGGTTTACAATTTACGGTTTGGTTCAGTTTATAAAATTAAATAAGTCAAACCAAAACTGTAAATCATAATTTAGAAATTCTCAAACCGAATGAAACCATTTCATAGGTATAAACCAAACCAAACCATAAACTCGGTTTGGTTCGGTTCAGTTTTGCGATTTGAACCGTATAATGAACATCCCTACCTATCAAAATAACATATTTGAATTGAAGTGATTTAAAAAAAAAAATGATTTTCAAGTACCAAAAATAATAATACACAAAAACAACCTGACAACGATAATAATGACTAAATTCACTATGAATTTATAATCCAACTTTAGCATTGTAATCATTATTTGAACAGTAATCAATCAAAGCTACTAAGCTAGCAAGTGAACATAATGAAAATGACTCAGTAGCACCACCTAACAGTTGAGCATGAAAAAATAACACAAATGGAAAATGTATCTTCAAATATTTTCGATCATTCTCTAATTTAAACTCCTCTTCATTACAAAAAAAAAAAAAACTCTTCTTCTTGTTTTCTTGTTTGATATATAAATTTAATAGCGGTATTCCTTCCATCCGAAAGCATTCCTTATAGACTAGCTCAAAACGACCATGTGAAAACATAAATAGTAGTCTTCCCAAAGTTGTTTAAAAGTGAAGAGTCAAACCACTATCTCAGTTGCAAGTTATAAGGTTGTATAATCACCTTTCTCTTCATATAATCTGCTATACACCCAATTAACCAAAAAAATCAGCATAAAAGAGAAACCAAAAGAGAGTGCAAGTTAAATCAAAATTTAGAATTTTAGACAAAATAAAAAAATAATAAACTAACTACTTTGTTGAGTGAACTCTTATTTTGGATTCTAAATTGATTGTGTAAAACGAAATAGCATTCAAATCCTATAACATACTACATCTCTATTTAGGTTCAAATTTGGAAGATTTTTATAAATATGATCACATTTTTATTAAAAATGGGGAGATACATCCATTCAAGGTATCAATCAAGTTTATCCTTGAAGGAAAAATTTTGAACTTATCATGATGATTTGATTCTATTTAATATCATGAAAACAATCCAGAGTAATGTGAGAGTTGTTCAGCCCAAGATTTTTAAAACTGACCCGAACAACGAATCGACAGGGATCCGGTTCCCGGGTCGAACGGTTTGACTGTTTGAAATGAACAAACGACCCATTCTAATAAAAAAATAAAAATAAATAAAAACTGGCTAAACCATTGAACGGTTCGAACAGTTCAACCACCCGGGTCAGCGGTTTGCTAACCAAATCTATGGTTTTGGGGGAAATAACACTTATAGGGTAAAACGGAACCGGTGACCAAATCTATGATTTTGGGGGAAATAACGGTTCTAGGGTAAAATGGAACCAGTCACTTGATTGATTCCCAGTTATTCCGGTCCGGTAACCATGGTTCAGCCACATTGATACTTGATAAAAATTTAACCAACATTATGGCTACCTTAATAGGGTAACCATTGCATGAAAAATTTGGATGTCCACGTATTCATGTATGTAGGGCTATAATAAATTTATATTATTAATAGGGATAAATTTAAAAATAAAAATCAGGGTGTTCAATGAAGAGCCATTAATCAGTCTCATTTTTAATAGTGGTAATAGATATGGTGTTATGTGTGTACAGAATTTAGCGAAACATTAACAGAGCTAATGTTGACGGTAGAAATAGAGCCAATCAATTGTCAAAAAATATAAGAATACTATAAGACTATAAGACAATAGTTATACAATAAGAGTACAATTTATCAATTAATTAAACAGTAAAAATAATTAAAGAAATTTGTCTTATAAATTTGGGTCCAGTGCAGATTCGGGCCGGAGCCCATCCCGGACCCAGTAATTTGCGCGCTGAGCTGGGCCAATAATGATCGCCCCCTTCTTCTCTAAAATACTAAAATCCTCTCCATAATAGTATGTATGTAGGAGAAGATGTCTCCAATTCACGGGGATTGTGTATTATGGGTAGGCGTGGACAGAAGATCCGGAGTCCTTTTTAATCCCCTCGCATGGACCAATAACCGCGAAGCACCAAAAAATCCAAACTCTCCAGCAGATTTTCGATCTTCAAATCGAACGACTAAGGAGTTTTTGCTTTGTTTTGTCGGGTTATGACTTATGACTTATGGGGTCACGCAACGGGGGTAGAGCCGTAGAGGTAGGTAGAGACCACCGCCCCACCCCACCCCACCCCACCCCAGAAAAACATTGGCCGTAAAGATTAAAGAACGTTTTTGGCAGGACACGTTAGCATAGGTGTGGGGGTAAAAGAGTAATTGCGCTCAACAATCTTTTGACCAAAAAGATAAATAAGAGACTGAATGGATTGACGTGGCATATCCAAGAACATTTCCAACAGCCAAAGTTTTCTCCATCAGACCATCACCATACATACCCGTAACCCCCACCAACCAACCTGAGGACAGCGGAGTTTGATGGATCCCAAGTCACTAAGCTTGCTACAACGAGTCAGAGACCCTATGTGGCTATGTCCCTTAAGACAAAAACAAGGCATTGCCACATCAGCAAATTTGCAGTAACAATTTTGTTTTAAGTTTTTAACAAGGGTATGTTGGTCTCGTCGGTTTCCCTCGTCACCATTGAGAGATCATTTTCTAATTTCTGCCCCGTATTACAGTATTACCGAGCAATTATAGATCCTATTTGAAGAGTTTGAAGAAGTAGACGAAGCAGAAGAGAAAAGGAAGAAGAGGAAGAAACTCGTCGTCATTCTGCCCAACGACTCTCAACTGACATCTCTCTTTTCTTCCCGTAAAACGATCCACGAAACTTGTAAGCTCCCTCACCATAAATTTCCCCATGTTGAGTTAAAAATCTCCCATGTTTTATTGGTTTTCCATATAGCCATGGTTTGGATTTGTGTTTTGTTTGCTGATGGCAATTCTCAGGCGATCGATTGATTCATGAATTATGAAATCTGATTTGTTTCTTGCAGAATGTTCTTGAATTTCTGGGGTTCATAGACTATTGATGTAATTTCGTTCTACTTATCTGAATCTTCTCTTGGAGTTATTTTCTAGTTTAATTCGTTCATTTTTCCTAATTTTGAATGAAACGCTGTTTCAGAGAGTCATTTCCTGACTATTTATAGCCTCTGTTTTCTGTTTTTAATTGCCGTAATTTATAGTCAATCTACATGGCATGCCTCTCGACAGCATTCATTGTTGCGTGAAACTAACACAATCAGGAAAATTTTCTACTGATATTCAATGCAGAATTAGGAATAAAAAATTCCAAATAGATGCCGATACAAATGAGATTCACAGGGTTTTTGTTTTTAATTTGGCTTACACAAAATTTTCATTGTATCGCTTAAATTAGAATTAGGATAACTATGGAAATGAAGAATATTCTTAGTGATTGATTCTTTTGGGGGTGAGTAATTGATTGAAAAGAAAAAGGTATGGTTTAAAATGTGTACTTGTTTCTTAATGTTTCCATGATATATTTCCATTTCCATAGGTACCAACATAAAATATTACTGGAATTGATATATTTCCCTAGTAAAAACTGTCACGCTATATGGAATATATGAGATGGTATTATAACATAAGTTGGCGGCAATATTGTAGACATGTAGAGTAGCAGTATTACTGTCCGCCTAATGGATAGGATGATCACTTTGAACCAACTCAAAATTCTTTTCAGACATGAAATTAAATTTTAGATTTTGTTTGTGTGATAGATTATTTGGTTGATCTATTAGAACCACTTGTACTTTAAATTTTGTTTATATGAGTTTAAATTTTGTTTGGACTCAGTCTATTATGTGGTTTTGATTCTTAAAATTTAGAAGACAATTGTGCAGCATATTATTTTGCCTATTAATTTCTTAGCTTTGTTCAGCGGTTTGGAACAAGATAATAATTTAAAAGGATCTGCCGTTTTTTTTGAAATAATTTATAAGGGTCTAACTATGCTTCTTTTATCATTTCATAAAATAACATTCCATATTTTTTCCTATTTCACAATGTTTCCACCATGTCTTTATTTTTACAGTATTTCCATACAACATTTCTGACATGCTTCCTATATTTGGATGACTGATATTTCCAACAACACTGACATTTTAAACCTTGGAAAAGGGGAAAGGAGGAAAGGTAATGAGAACCACAAGTTGAGGTCCAACATTAAATTTAGTGGTTTCTTAGTTCATACCACTGGACTAATGCCTGGCCACAAGCTGCTTACTGAGCCAACCTCAGATTACTCATAAACTATTCCATGATCAAGTTCCCTGATGTCAAACACAAGATAGATAAAATATCTGCTATTTGTACATGATGAGCACTGATGACAATGCTTCAATAATTTGAAGAAACATAATTAAGACATAATAGTTGATTTTTGGTTTATAAGCTTTCAAGAGGGGTGAGGGCAGATGAGAAATGGACATTCTTTTACCATACATATTCACAGAAAATAATCATTTATGTGGTTACTTTTATTCTAATCAGGGCCTGCTTTGGTTTCAATCCATAGAATATTGTTTGGTTTTCTGCAAAGAGCAATACTTACTGAAGAATGCTGTATTTGGTTCAAAATGTGTTCTCGAGTTTGACACAATATTCTACAGCTCTGTCAATACCGTTGGTTTGACTTTTGAGTTGATTCATTCTACCGAGATGGGGACCATCCACCGAAGGTGTGTATGCCATATTCTTTGAGCTATATTTACCCAGAAATTTACTTTTCTTGGTTATAAACTGCTAGTGAATATTCTGGAATCTCCTTTTCTAGGACCTTCTACACACTTTTAAGTTGGATTTTCATGCTGATATTTTTCAGAATAACTTAATTGGTTATTCTGTTTTCTTTGCAGTGGGGTTCTTAAAAAATCAAATGACAGTGCCAGACTTATTATTGCAACTGTTATGGGAGTTGTCTTTGGATTTTTTGTTGGTGTTTCATTTCCGTCTATTTCAGTTTCCAAGGTATATTGAGATTACCATTGTCATCACATATTTTCCATAATGAGGCCTTTATAACCTGTCTTTTTGTGAAACTTTGCAGCTTAACTTACACTCTGGCTTTCTATCATCCATCGATGTGGCCGTTCTTGACGAAAATAGATCTGGCAGATTTTCTAGGCCTGATCTTAGTAAAAACAACGCTTCAGATTCGGATATTCCAAAGGTACTCATCCATTTAACATTTACTTGTAGTTGGTTATGACGTTATGCTCTATTTGTACTTTACATGAGGTAGGCAATTTTGAAAGGTTAGTCATTTCCTTTCTAACCAGTCCTTAAAACCATGAGTTTGAGATATACTGATTATTGTGGTAGTTCACTAATTCTTTTTTTATTCCATTTTGCAATAAAATTTTGAATTACCATGTTATGGATTCAAAAAGTTAAGGCTGCCATTTCCTTAAGAGGGCGGTCTTTATTACTTTTTTTCTTTTCAGTTTTAAAACTTGTTCATATGGGAATGCCTTGGGTGTGGGATACATGGGTCTGGAGCCTTCATAACTTGCCACCTGTCAAAAATTTTCAAGAATCAGGGCTGGGTTTTTCAAACTATCCCAACAAAACTGTGCTTACACTATAGATCAATTTAACCAGATGACTTTTAACCATCTGATTAGGAGATTATTTGTAGGATTTCCATCTAACTGTAGGAAAAACATTTCTCCCCAATTTATTTAAATGCACGAAAACCTTCCATAGAAAATGATTTTTGGCTTTGCTGAACTTCTAAGTAGGACCCATCTGATTTCATTTACAGTTTCAGACTTAACTTCTATATTTATTGTTCTTGGATTGAAAAGCAGTGCGCTAGTATTGTCAGGATTATCTTTTCCCCTTATTGCATTTAAATATGGTGTATACTATTTTATGCCCCTGTTATTCAGAATTAGAACATTAGTAGTTTCCAATACAATCATAAAATCTATTTTGATTGCACCACTGATAAAAAGAGGTAAGACCCATCAGATGGCAGGTTATGAGGATCCTAGACCCATATCAGGTCCTGTATCCCAAGACCCCAGCTTTGTCCCAAACAATGATATATATTTCTTTACCTTTTCAAAAAATATTATGTATTTCTTTATTTGGTAATTAGGACTTCAAAAATGGATTTCTTTTTTCATTTTGCGTTATTCTGCAGTTGTTTTTTAAATTTCAAACTTGTTCTTTCTGCTTATCTATCATGGGACTATAATTGCCTTCATTAAGCTTATCAATATCACTTGTAACAGAACAATTATCAAGTTCTTTGTGGTTGTTTTGAGCTATGCAACTATAATGTCACCTTTGCACCTATTTCAAAGGCCTGGAGAAGTGCTTGATTGACACCATATTGGAAAGTATGATCATGCCGGTGTGAAGCATTTATTATCCAGTTAATAAAGTGTCATTAAACAATGGAGAGTCACAAAGAAATGATAGGTCTGATTTCCAAGAGTCTTTGGCAATTCTGATCAACTTGGCACCCTTCCTACCTATAAGGAAATTTTTGATGTAGGTTCTTCCCTATAGTCTATCCTAGACCTCCTAAAGAGGGAGCTAGTTTGGTGTTAACTTATTTCCCATATTACTTTTCTTTAGGGTGAACATGGCATCATTCTTATCAATCAGTGTAACTGTCAACTCTAAGTGCTAGGAGTTGTTCACTGGTCAATATTCTGAGCTGGCACCTCCAGATGGATTCTGAATAAACCAATGCTTTTAAACTTGGAGTGGATGCCAAACAACTGGAGCTGATGGTTCATAGCTGAGCAGTTCAACCCCTGAACTGGTGTGACAAAACAATGAAAAAAAAAAGAAAAGAAGTGCTAAATAAGTGAAGAAAATGTTAAAAGGAAGATAAAGGGGATAATATGATGGTCAAATGATTCAGTGCTTGCCCCTGGTCCAGATTTCAAAAATATAGCAATAAATTTAAATTCCTTTAAGGCAGTTCATTTGCTGTCCCCAAGTACTAGCCTAATGGTTACTGACCTGCCTGTGACCTGGGTTATGATGTTGATTGAACAACCTCACACACTGCAATTTCCATTTCACTGGATTACCTATCAAATGTTTAATGCTGTTTCCTGTATTGAACTTTTCATGATATGAGAATTGAAAGAATAGTTAAGATTAAGAAATATTTTCTACTCCATTGAATACTGGAGCAACTTGGATATCAATCCAGTAAACCTTTTTGCTTTTGATTGATGCATTAGAATTGAAAAATATTTTTCTTGTTTTGAGCATTTTGTTTTGTGGAGCTTCTACTGTAGCAATTTTAATGCATCATTGCTTATATAATATATATTTATATTTTATTTAGGGCTGCTAACTTCCTAGTGCCTTACTGATATGCACCAGATATATGTTCCAACAAATCCTCGTGGTGCAGAGTCATTGCCCCCTGGTATAGTTGTGCCTGAAACAGATTTTTATTTGCGCAGATTATGGGGTGATCCGAATGAGGTATATTTTCATTACTGTTGGTAACAGCTATATATATATATATATAGTTATATACATGTATGTATGTATGTATGTATGCATGTGTGTGTATGCGCGTGTGTTTTTACCATATTTTACTTTTTTTTTTGCATGTCTTCATGATTGGAGGGGCTCTGGGTGGGTAAATAGGGAGAATGGACAGGGCAGAGACATGTGGTTGTGTACAGAGGGTGATCATGGACCTGGCCAGGCTGGGCTTCTGGGCCTATGCCTTATAAATATATCATATTAAATATGTACATTATATGACATTATTTATGTATAAATACATATAACGTTGTCTTCTTTCCTTTAGCTGCTCTTTTTGTATCTTTTCCTCTTCTCCAGATTATCTATGCACAGGTGCATACATCTGTTGCAAGGAAGATATAGGTCACAATGACCAATGAGCAAGCCACAATGAGATTTCAACTATCAGACTTTTTGGTATTTGGATGCCTAAGTTGATACTTAGGGATGTCAACGGGTCAGGTTTGGGTTGGGACAGGGTGTTCCTAGTCCCAAACCGATTATTAATTGGGACAAAATCACGGATCCAGAACCATCCCGGTTAATAGTCGAGTCTATTGGGTCTGGACCCAATAGACCTGACTATATTGAAAACTATATTTATTATTTAAATAATAACTTAAAACTTATATTTTGATAATATAACCTTAATAAAAATGATAGTAAAATACTAAGTTATTTATATGTTAATAAATTAAACATTTTAAACTAATATTATCTATCCAATTTACCATTTCAAACATAAAATATTTGGTTTGGGTCTGAATTGGTTTGGGACAGGCAGGAACCGTAACTGACCCAATTATTAATCAGAACAAAATCATGGGACCTGAACCGACATAATCGGTTTGGTTCAGTTTGGGCAGTCAGGTATAACCAACCTATTGACAGCCCTATTGATACTTATGAAGTCTTATGAGATAAAAGCTTGTTTTTACGTCCAAATAGTCTGTATTTGAAGTCTAATTGGACTATCATGTCAGATTTGTTTGGTGGGGCGGCAGTTGCAACTTCTTCCCTTTGGACATGGTTATGAAGAGTATTCTCTTCATTATGAATTCTAAATGTTAAAAGAGTAAAAAAAGCACCTATTTACATGAACAATAAGTGGTGACTTGATCACTTATTGATTAGAGCAAATTTCAGATATTAGTGGGCCTATCAGAGGCATAAACCAAATAAAAGGGGGATAACCAGTTATCTTATTAGTTTCAGACATAAGTGACAATGTTTCAGTCTTCAAAATGGCACATTTTTTCTTCTGTCTCTGGGTGAAAGTTTGTAGATGATAAGACCTATCTATAATGACTGAAAACTGCAGGATCTCAAAACCAAGCCAAAGTACCTGGTGACATTCACAGTTGGGTTTGATCAGAGGAATAATATTGACACAGCTGTTAAAAAGGTTCTGTCTACACATGTATCATTATCTTTGATCTTCTTGTTTCTTTTCCAAAGATGCTGAGGTTTATTTCTTTCACATATCCTTGCAGTTTTCTGAGGATTTCACAATTTTGCTTTTCCATTATGATGGCCGGACAAGTGAATGGGATCAATTTGAATGGTCAAAACGTGCAATTCATGTTAGTGTGAGGAAGCAAACAAAATGGTATTATTTTCTTGCATATATTTGGAGTTCTTATTGTTCTATTTTTTCTGGTTGGAAAAGTGTTTTTGTATAATTTTCAATGATCAAAGATTTTGTTAATAACATGAAGTGAAATTGAACCCCACTTTGAAATATATCCAAAGGAGGTGAAAAGCACAACAACATGCTGAGTATATAATCACAATGATAAAGAAAAGATGACAGATGAAGATAAAGAAGAGAAGCTACAATCTGCCCTATGGATTAGTCCCAGGCCAGGTGCCCCTCCAAACCAACTCAGCCCCACCTACTCCTTGTTAATATGTCAGCAATATCATTGGAAAATCTTGGATTCCATCTGAATGAGTTGTTCAATCTATTTTCCAAATCTTTTGTTTTTCTTATATGGTGTCTCATGTTCCATGGTTCTCCCATTCCATTTTTCATCAAATCTAATACCACCACTTAGCAATATCTTGTAAGCAGGTTCTTCCATCCAAAAGAATAAGCTAATCTAATCCCTTGGTGCAGGGGTTTAAGTTACTACTTTCAAGTTTCAAGAATGTCCTTCCCCTTTCGATTCCAAGTAACCTAAGAGGATGTTTTCAGATGCATTCCTGAACACACCTACAATTCCCAAAGAACTAGGATTAGAGTACAACCATCAAAGTTTAACTTGATAATGGCTTCAAGGGGAGTTGTCCAAGTTTGTTTTGCAATACTTATCTTCTAATAGGTGTAAAACTACTATTATTAGCCATCCCTTATATAGATCTAATGGAAAACCCTTACTGAAACCAAGTGAATTGAAGTTGAATCTTCTAGCTCCTTATTCGAAAAAATACAAGTCTTTCTTTCAGTCTAGATACTCCATGATAGCTACTATTGAACACCTCTATTCTATATAAATTTCCCCTTTCCTTAGTGATGTAAAATGAGTTTGAACAGCTCCAATATATCAGCTGGTGGAGAGCAAGTAATGCCAAAGAAAAGGAAGGTGGTTCCATATGCTCAAAGTGAGGGTAAAACAAGAATGAGTAACATTCCCACCAAGCTTTTCACTGACATTACAACATGTCACCACTCACCAGTGTTAATTATCTTCAAGGCTGCTTCAAAAAAAAAAAAAAAAAAAGATCCTAGTCAGGGTACATAGGGCCATCCCATATGGCCTTGGGTGGGAAAAGGAAGAGGGGTAGGGGAAGAGTCTAATACTTTATAGAAAGAGGCATAGGAGAAGCTTTCAAGAGGATTGTGATTCTGATTCTGAACCAAACAGACTATGGGAATATACCATTTTGATTCTGATTCTGATTTTGAGGGATTGTGATTCCGATTTCAGACTATGAACTAAGCAGACCCTAGATATCCCATAAAAACGGGAAAACTTATGAGAAAGTACAAAATATCATATTTGCAATTTCTTAAAATAAAACCATCATATTTAAATATTGAACTGTTAAAATAAAACCATCATATTTAAATATTTGCAATTTCTTAAAATACGAGAAAGTATTCAATTAAGTATCATCATCATAATTATATAAGTATCACCAGCCATCAATATAATACTTGCAAAGTTGCAAATCAAAATTTTAGAATGAGCAATTCACATAAATTGCACAATATTAACATAAATGAGTGTCCTCCCATATTCAAATGAATATAATGCATAAAAGAAATCAAAGCTATGGTGCCTCCACTTCTATTTAACATTTTATTTTAATATTATACTAAACAAATATGGAGGGCTTTAATCCTAAGAATTATGTAAACATATAATGGAGAGCACAATAAAATTGTTGCTTCATATATATATATATATATATATATATATATATTTGAGAAAAGGTAAGATCATACAAGGTATACGTCTCCAGGCATTTTTTGTAGCACCTCCACTGGAGGTGTACACCTCTAGTGCCTGTTAGATCATCGTCCTTGATGATGCACCTCTGCTGGGATCTGAATCTTAGTTATTTTCACTTTGCAAGTGTTTGCTTTTTCTTGTAGAGTCCAGATTATGTTTTCTGCATCCTCAGATGTAAACCTTTACCTTCACATATGCACAATAACCTTTGTTCTGACCCACTACATCCTTTTTATCTGGTGTAGGTGGTATGCAAAACGATTTTTACATCCTGATGTAGTAGCAGCTTATGATTACATTTTTATTTGGGATGAAGATCTTGGAGTTGAACATTTCAATGCAGAGAAGTAAGGGGACCGTTTTAATTAATTATTGATTCTTGTATTTTTCCATGCTTTGTGTTCTATGTTTTCAAATTTTGTTGATGATGTTAGGTTCCTTGAGCTGGTGAAGAAACATGGCTTGGAGATATCCCAACCAGGACTTGAGCCAAATAATGGACTGACATGGCAGATGACTAAAAGGAGAGGTGACAGTGAAGTTCACAAGTAGGATAACTATGATATTGTATCCTTTCTTATACTTTTTTTGCCAATCCTTTTATTTTAATTATTGGGAACATAACTATAATTCTTATGGTAGTAACATTTTACTGTCCTATTTGTATGCAGGGAAACAACAGAGAAACCTGGCTGGTGTAGTGATCCACATTTGCCTCCATGTGCAGCGTATTCTCTTTCTCTCTCTCTCTCTCTGCCTCTGGGAAAAATGGTTTCCTGATTGGGTCAAGTAGGGATACCTACCCTATTTCTGTTACATGGGCAGCTTCAGACTGATCCAAATTGTCTACTAAGGGACCCTCTGGATCAGTGACATGCTTAATTATCCAATCTACATCAGCCCTATAGGGTGGGGAGAGGAACATAGGGAGTCCTTTTGGTCTCTAAACTCATTCTCCATGGAGATCTCTGGGTTGATTAGACTGCACTAAATGACCCAATTAGCATATTTGGTGGAAATGGTCACCTAAAAATAGTGGAATAGGGATTGTTTAGAATAGGATTCATGTAATCAGTGGCGTATAGTTGGGATGAGGCTTTATCGAATTGTATTGAGGGGTTGTTTCACAAAAGATCAGGAAATTTGTGTCAAGATATTGTAAGAAACTGTGAAACATTGGAAAACTTCCAAGTACTTGAAAATTTTCTTTTCTATTCGAAGAAATGATAAATGAAGCATAGATAACACCTATAAAATAAAATGTTGTTATAAGCTATCATACAAGACAAGGAAAAGAAGGCAAATAGAGAAAGCTACTTGCTGTTGACAAATTATCTTGCTTCAACATGGAATATATGTTTTAGACATGGATTTGCGCAACTATACCAAATGAGCATCAGAGATTAGGACTTGATGCCTGGTTACTACATTATGCATGAGTTTAAATATTGCCAAAAAGGAAATGAAGAAAAACTCAAAGAAATTGCCATCCATAACCATGAAACTCAAAAAAAAAGGCTTAAAACGATGATGATGGTGGTAGTGGTGGTAGGGAGTTATTTTGGCGCTTACCATTTTTGATAAAGAGGAAACCCCTAATCATTGGTCTAAAAATACACCCCCAGAATGGGAGCATCCCAATTTTGATAATGGGAGCACACTCCAGTCATTAGTCAAAAATGCATGTTTTAAAAGAGAAAAGCACCTCCATTTTTTTTTTTTTTATCATTACTGATAGGGATTTCTTTGTCTTTTCACTAGGGATGTTCCCAGTTGATCAAAAGTTGGGTGTGCCGAAGTCAGTCCCCATAATTTTTTTTTTTAAGAAGACAATGAAATATTTGAATTAATCACAGAAAGAAAGGGAAGACAGGTAGCTCTTCCAGCATGTATATGGAGGAGCTATACGTGGCACACAAAAACCATGTCTAAAAACAGAAAACAGTTAATCAATTACAGAAAAGGGTGTCGGTCTCAGAAATAATGGGATGATTCTTGCAGTGTATTTTCAATAAAAGTTAACTTTGCTAAAAAAATTATTGTTTGAATAACATTTTTCGTCAATATAGATAGACATTATTATTTTAATAACCACAGAAATGAAGTTTGATTGAAATGACATGAAACATTGAAGCATTGAAATGTGTCCAGAAACATTATGGTTATATTTTGTGGCTGTACATGAGGAAATAAAAATTTCTTTAGGGAGAATATTAGGGAATATTTTGATTATTAATCCATACTCTTTTCAAGAGAAGAAAAAGAAGGTTGTCTTTGTGCAGTACTCACCCATGTTTCTTGCATTTATACTTCTCTGCTTTGGTAGTAAATTTTGTTTTCTTCATTGATTCAGTTTTGTGGAAATTATGGCCCCCGTGTTTTCACGGAAGGCTTGGCGTTGTGTGTGGCATATGATTCAGGTACCATATCTGGCACCTCATTGTCTCTTCAGTTGAATGCCTTTAAGTCTTCACCTACTGTTACAGTAATTTAGATATTGTGCTTGTAGAATGACTTGGTACATGGATGGGGATTGGACTTTGCACTAAGAAGATGTGTGGAGGTCAGTGGCTTCTGTTTATTCTATCCTTTCCCTTCGCTTTCCTTTATCTGGCTTTACTTGATTATATTTCATCCACCTTGTGTCAATCAGTCATTACCATTTATTTTTTCTCAATTATCATTTTCTACACAAACAATTTTGCTGCATTTTCTTTTTCTATGAAATGAATGGTACACTGTGAAGGTGACATTATATTGTAATTTTTTTCTGGTTCTTGGATCTGGTAAATCAAATATTTTAAAAGACTGAATTGTCTTCAAGTCATGGAGGTTTCCATCTGATCCTACTAGTGGTTGACACTCTAAATAAAAATAACTACTTTGACAAATATTTGGCATTTTGGATTAGTCTTCTCACCACTAAAGAAAGGATATTTTGCCTGTAGGCAGGATGGGCCAATCAATTGTCCAGTGGGGTATCTTGATGCCCTGTCAAATTTGATCATACTTATCACTACAAACAGCTTTTTTTTCCTGTTTTTGCCATTCATTCCTTACATGTTTTTCTGTCTTTAATCTGCACAGCCTGCTCATGAGAAGATTGGTGTGGTTGACTCTCAGTGGATTGTTCATCAAGTCATACCTTCTTTGGGGAACCAGGTCAGATACTGTCCGTGAACTTTCAAGTGATGGCAACAGTTATCACTAATGACAATTGACAAGGATTTCAAGTTGTAGCCTAAGCATCAAAATGAATTTGTTGGTTGTTCTTCACATGTCAAGTGGGGTTTTGTGCGGTGTAATTTTCTAATAGTCACCTGTTAATATGAACAGTCACATTTTGTTAGGGCTGCAAGTTGTGCTGGGTTAGGTCAGGTTGAGGTCAACCCTAGCCCAACCTAAGATGTTGAACCCCCAAACCTAACCCTAATCTAATCTGACCTGCAACGCAATATAGTAAACCATAATGTAACCCAATCTAGAATTCCTCAACCCTAACCTACAATGAAGGTAATGTCAGGTTGTGTTGGGTTGGGTTTAGGTTGTCAATTTCTCAAACTTCTTTTTTGCTTTAAAATATATTCACATCTCAGGCTGGTTAACCGTTAGCCGATTAGAGTTACTTAAACATTAGTAGGGGGCAAAGTTATGGTGCTTCAGGAGTACTAAACTTAAACAAAAAATTCTTAGTCTTAGAATTTTTGGGGCATATGCAATGCATCTATCTTAGGTTTCAGTTTGGGCCAAGATGCACAAGTCTTCAACCCAAACCAAAAGTTAAACCAGGTTCATATTTTTTAACCTTAACCCAATCCAACTTTTCTGTTAGGTTTGGGTAACCAGGCCCAAGTTGTACCCCCATATGTGACTGACAAATGTAGAATCAGCAGCTTTTTTTCATGTCTTCAATGAACTTATCCGTTGACTTGTTATCTTGGCAGGACTGACCATCCATTTTATATGTCTCTGTCATTCCCTATATATGATACCTTCCCGTCATTGTTGCATAATTTCCATGAGATCCTTTGTTTCTAATTTATCTGACCTGCTTCCTGAAGTTAACTTTTTCATGACTTGGACTTTATCTGGATTTGCAGGGTGAGCCCCAGAAGGGGAAAGCCGCATGGGAAGGGGTATGCTTTCTGACCAATTGATATTCATGTTTTCTTTACTCCACAAGATACATTTACTTTAAAGTGGTTAGCTTTCTATTTAGAAATTCATTCAGAATCCATTTATGTTATCAAATCTGAGCAATGTTGCAAACCTACAATTGAATGTTGGAAAGCTATGGGTGCCCTCCTAAGCATGTCTAGGGATGTCAATTTCTACCCTACCCAGTGGGTACCTGCCCCTACTCTCCCTAATGGGGTGTTTTTTTTTTTTTTGCTTGAAGGATGGGTTTTGGGATTCTACAACCTGTACAGGTACTGGTAGGGTACAGTATTAGGCTAAACCCGACTCTCCCCAACCCGCATATTGTTGGAAAGCATATCAACTTTATGTACTAGGTATTGAATTTAATAATATTTTGAATTTTATGTGAAGGATAATTGATAGTATACGTGTTTTCTACATGTCTTAATCAAATAATTAGAAATTTTGTTGTTTGTTTGTGTTATTTTACTTATTTATTGTTTATATATGACAAGAAATAATAGGAAATTAGATGTGGGTTCTAAACCCAACCTGTCCCTACCCTTGAAGGTGGAGAGGGTAGGGTCGGGGAGGGTTTTGCATTTTTCATGTATGGGGAGGGTTTGGATTCTCAAAATCCAACCCGTCATGGGTTTTGGGGCAGATACGAGTTGGGAGGTGGGTTGAGTCTAGAATTTACAAAACCCTCCCCGGACCCACTGTGTTGCCATCCCGAAACATGTCCTATTTTCCTACTGAATTGGTCTGAAGTTATAGATTGCCTACATAAAAAAAAAACTACACGATCAAAGGAAATCAAAGAATATTTTATGTATTTATTGGAGAGAGGAAAAGAGGTGGTGGAGCATTCTCATGGCAACACTACTCTTAAGATAGAAAAGTCATCACCAATGTTGATCCAAGATAGAATATATTCTTTTTATTTGACCAATGAACTCATGAAAGGTTTCTTTTTGCTTCTTCAGCTCCATTGCATTTGGAGAGAGGGAAAGAGGTGGGGGGGATCCTCTATATCAGGAGTTTAACTTTTTAAGCTCCTTTATTCCCTGTGTCATGTGGCTATGATTATTTAATATGGAGATGAGAAGTTGTCTTTATCTTTTCCAATTCTTTTTCATTTTGTGAATCAACTGAAAGTGCACGAGGTTCTCTAAATCAATTTTTTGTTTCTCTTCCTACAAAACAGGTAAGGGAGAGGTGTAGAAGTGAGTGGGCGGAGTTCCAAAATCGTCTTGCCAATGCAGACAAGGCATACTTGTCACAGATGAGTTAAGGGATGACTTTGAAATGACTTGGATACTTCTATCCGTGCTCTGTTTCCTTGTTCCTCGCCTTTTGTGAATGTATTCAGATATTCAATTTTTTAAGTGGAATTTTCTTCCTTTATCAGAATAACTGGCCACATGTTCCTGTTTGGATCTAGATTTATGAAAGGGAAGAAAATTTCACTCTGTTCATAAAAATACTCTTAGTGCAAAGTCTAATTACTTCTTTTCCATTTAATTTTGTTATCTCCTTTTGCTTTGTTGTCACAAAATTTGGAAGATTCTAATCTCCGCTTGAAATCATTGCATACGATTGCCTGGTGTTTCCTAGTTTACCTCTTTCAAGAACTTGCCCACGTAGTCATCTTTTCACAAACTACTCAGAAGATTAACACCGAGCCTAGTTTCAAAAATTTTATTTTCGTTTTTCATGGTCACTCTGCAAGACATTAGCAAATTATTAAGCGAAGTTTGTGTTAAGATTGAAAGAAGGAAGTTGTTTGCGCCGGGGTGGCTGAATTGTAAATTTTGCCATATTCTCAGCAGATAGGAACTCAAGATGTACATTCAGTAGATCCTATGGTTAATGTATAAAATTAATCCAAAATGAATTATTAATCCTTCCCTCTTTTGCTCGAAATAGGATTTGAATCTAAAGATATGATTAGATGCAGATAGATGCAAATTTTGGTTAATCGAACCGACAATGTATATATATATATATATATTTATAATATATTATAAATATTAAAAAACGAGAAACTGATGAACCGAATCGGTGGTTTTGATTCACGATTTTCCAAAATTTGATGGTACCGGTTTATTTATCGTGCTTAAAATGTCAAAATACATCTCAGGCTCAGAACGAAAACCCTACTGTTGCCGTTAACATGGATCCAGCAACCCTGCAACACATTCAACAATGTGTATTGTATTCTTCTTCTAAAGCGTCGACGGCTGAGTTCTTGGTGGGAGAAACAACGGCATAGGAAAGAAACAATTAGAGGCTTTAGAGCTCGTCAGCTCCGCCTTTGGGAGCCTTCTGGGTTTACGTCTGCTACTCTGCTCTCACCATGGTTGCAGCATTACCTTGTGAAAATGCGAGCCCCCAAAAAAATAAGAAACATGCATCAATCAATTAATCTACATTCCATATATTAATTGCCTCATACAATAGACAATTAGGTTCAAAGATATACGAAATAATATAAAATAATTTACTTCGAGTCTTCAACTCCTTGAATCCAACTCTCCCACATGCAGTATTGCATGTGCACTTCATTTGGGTATAACAGCGAAAAAAAAAACTACAACCCCAATTAACTTGTTTGTTGGAGGCAAGTACATCAATCGGCCTCTGTCTACATTATGATGGTCCCGGTCCCGGATCTAGCAGCTGGAAAATCCGAATATACCTCTACCTACGAACCGACTGCCTAGGATCTGATGTCTATAGTGGGCAAGTTTCTTTTTATTTCTTTTTAATTTTTTTGGGTAAATATACCTGGGCAAGTTTCTAAGACCAGTGTGACAGTTTTGAAAGGTTCAACACAACTTAATACTCCTCTTAGGGAGACCACATGAAGATTTTGCTAACCGATGAGGGGCAACTTGGCCCTCCATTTATGTGATGATACGTGCCATCTCAAAATATTTCAGATATAAGCAAACTTCAGGAGCACCTTGGACACCCACTTTGATGACCTCAGCAAATCGAACTGCGAATAGCCTGGCAAAACATCAGGTCAGCGTAAGAGGCGACCTGCTTCCACCAACCTAACCCGAATTCAGCTAGTGACTTGCCTAACGTGCCAGGTGACTTCCTCATTTAGTAGGTTATCGTTTTTTATTTCCCCGATATCACGACGCCACATCGGAAGAGCCGGTTATCACGCCACCCACTTCAGATGCGACTGGATAGACACTACCTGCTTACGCAGAGTCTATCTCTGGGCATGAAACCACATTTGAATCAGATAGATTTAAGATCTCGGACGCGTTTCGTGAGCTTCATGGCAGGTAGCCTATATAAAGTCATCTCCATTTACAGAAAATGTACGCGCGATTTAACTCTCACAATTCACTAACTCTCTAGTTTTCTTACTTTTAGCTCTTCCAAAACTTTTCGTTGACTTAAACATCGGAGTGACTATCCTGGATACTCTGATCATCACTTTCTTGCAGTTTGACCAATCGACCGTCTGAGCTATTTGCCAACATGGAGCATCAGATCGTGCACCATCACTAACCATTTAAAAAATTCTTTTGATGTATTAAAAAAAATCTTGAATGGTTAGCAATATCCCTTTTAAGTAATTAACCATTTGCTAACTATTTAAGAATTAATGCACACCTTTTTATGACATTTTGTTCAACAACTTTATGTCATGTAACGAAGATTAAGATATACGTCGACTTTATTATCTCCCAATTAAATGAAAAAAAAATGTATACATGTATATAATTAATTATTTTATTATCACTTGTTGGCTCAATGGTGTGCCAAATTGTAGGAGTGGTCAGTAAAGGATGAGGAATATAAGAGAGGGGCTTCTCTATCTTTCCCTGGCTGCTGATGTTTAGAGGTCATGGAAAGGTTCTTTGAGTGAGATTGAAGTTTCTTCACCAACCAAATATTGAACTTGGGGATGGCAAACTTTGCTTGCAATGCTAGATACCTCTCCCCAGAAAGAAAGAATTAAATGTTTATCACATTATCCTACAGTCCTACCTTACTTACTTGACTATCAAGGCTCTTTCTCACAAAAAAGAAGGGAATAATTAAGGCTCTTGTATATTACCACAATGCAAAACCAGCTTTATGAATTATGAGGACTTTAATACCCTTCTGTGTCCTCTGTTCCCCTCCAAACTGATGAAAAAGAAGGGAATAATTGATGAAGGATGTCTGTATATGCAGTGGCATCACTGTGTACCTGGTGACAAATAACTAGAGAGAGAGAGAGAAATAAGCCAGCACCCCTCCCTAATGAATCAAAATCTTCTCAAAAACTAAGCCAAGCATAGCTTGCAAATGGGTTCTTCAGAAAGCTTCTCAGTGATATACTGAAGAACGTTAACGGCTAATACAGAAGAGAGAAAGGAAAAGCTAATACAGAAGAAATTAACAGTTGTAGGAAACTTGTTCGTATTATACAAAAGAGAGAAAGGAAAAAAAAGGAACAAGTGGACTTCGCAAGGAGATGAAGAAGATACCTTGCAAATGATATATAATCGCCATCTTCAATTCCTAGGTTAACAAATGCCATCTTCAATAAAAAAACAATGCAAATTATAATGCAATTCATGCATGAAATTATGAACGCATATATTATTTTTTATTATAAAATTTTTAATAAATTATGTCAGCGGTTCAACTGTGTGGGTCAAAGCCGGTTTGAAAATACAAAGCAAATACCATAAGTAGTTATTTATCAAATAGTATGGTGCCCAATCCCGATGCGTGGAGACAGGCACTAGTTTTAATGATACGTGATGGATTATACATATACAATATGGAATTCTTGAAGTGTAGCAGGGGCATTATCGTCACTGAAGTTGTAAAACTGATTCTTTTAATGGCAAAGGGGGAAATTAGGAAAAGGCCGTCTAATCGGTTCATCTTCCGTCACATCCTTCTCCAAGTGGCCGCGCCTGCCAGCTGCAGAAAAAGAAAATAATTTTACTAACAGACTCCAACACTGACGGCGTCACTACCAAGCACCAACCTCACAAAATCTAAAATAAAAGGGCGCGCAAAGCAAAAGTAAAAAGCTATATTCTCTCTCTCTCTCTCTGAGAGTTCTGAACCTTTGTTTTGAGCTCCATCCATCTCTTCCGCGCGTCCATCCTCGCCGGACAGTGGCAAATATCCACCCTCAATTTTCCACCCGGGATCCTGATACCTTGTCGACGGTTCAGTGAGTCCAGTTAATGAGATGCCTGGTCTGTAGCTTTTACATCGTTCAGTGATTGAAAGGAGCTCCCACGGTACTTTTGGCTGGGGTGATCCCATTGAGCTGTAGCCTGTAAGGAAGGACTATAAGTACTACAGCTGGTAAGCTAATTTCTTCAAGGACTTGTATAGGAGTAGTAAGAGCTACAGTATATAAAGGAATTTTCAGTATTTCAAAGTGCTGCAGCTACTATCTCTCTCCCTGGAATATGTTTCAACTTTTAATGACTTTTCTTTTCCGTTTTTCAATTTCAAAGCTTAATGTGATGCTTCTTCTTCTTCTTCTTCTTCACAAAATACTCAGGCATAGTATACCAGTTGATATTCTCGTGCGGCGATCAAGTTCAGGTTTTAAAATCAAAATGATGATTCCGGCCTTCCGGGCCGGGATCTGCTATACAAACAAAGGCAGATCCCGTTTACTGTTTACATTACAATGTGTTAGGGTAGTAGGGCTACCGGCTATATAGGGGCCCACTCTTGATTGGTTACGTAGCCCGTTGTACACGCCTTTGTTTGTAGCAGAACAGGAGTGATATTGCCATTGAGAATGCCCAAATGATATCATTAATTGTTATTAGTATAGTCATCTCATCAATGATCATGTTAATATTCATGCTGGTTCTATCTTAGGCCCAAATGCAAATTGCTGCATATTTAGAATAGCAGGATGACCCATCATCCATCAGATGACGACTCATCCCCTGCTACTGCTAATCACAGAACCTTTTTTTTCCCTTTGTTTCAATTGGAGCTGATTTTTGGTCCAACCCATCATGTCCATGGTGCATTAATCCATTTGATGGTGGGTCACTGGGTCTTGATCCTCTGAATAAAGGACAAATGTCAAATTAATTATGCCCACTGGTTTAGAGGTCTTTATGGCCCCAGTTGAAATCCTTTTCGATCCGCAAATTTTCATTTCAATTCATTCAATGTAGCTTGCAGTTCCATTATTTTTCCAAGAAAGTCCTCCGTAAAAGAGCTCTAATTTTAACCTCAATAAGAATTTTATCCATTGGGGTCCTTCTGTGACAGTGCTGCCTTCTCTCTATTCTTTATTGTTTTGTGTTTTAGGCTTTTAGCAAAATGGGTGATACACCAAGCTTACAACTGGGTGTTATCGGAGCTCTGGTTCTATCCGTGGCATCATCAGTGGCCATTGTCATCTGCAACAAAGCTTTGATGAGCAATCTCGGTTTCCCATTTGGTATGTAGTCTTTATCTTTCATTGTTCATATATATATAATGGGTCCTATTAGTCCGTTTAAATGAAATAGATGTTAACTTCCAACTCCAAATCGCAATGCTCAAATTTTAGAAAGGATTTTCTGGCATCTTGGATTGGCTTGACTAGGGTTAGACAGACCTACATAACTACAACTAATTTCTGAATGAGAAAAAAAAAAAAAAAACTTATCATTGTCCATTTGTTCTTATTTCTTATGCAATCAAAGTTTAGCTGTTGATATATAATTAATTTTGACTGGAACGTGCTACCGGCTCGGTGGAAATCTTCAACTCCACGAAGTCTCTAAACGTCGAGCACTATCCGAGCCTGACCTCTAAGTCTCTAAACTCTCCCAGTCAAAGAAAGCTAAATGGCTTACCTGGAGTGACGAGTGAGAGTCCTATCAGGGCGACAAAACAGTGTAGGTCCTTGGCGTCCAGGTCCATGGGCCAAGGTGCAGGTTTTCAAGCTCAGATAAAATGTATACATGTGTGTTGTGTGACCGACTGACTGACTGTGGTGTATATATATACAATAATTACATTGCAGCTACAAGCCTGACTAGCTGGCATCTCATGGTTACGTTTTGCACTCTTCACGTGGCACAACGCTTCAATGTGTTCGAGAGCAAGTCCATTGACATGAAGACTGTGATGCTGTTTGGCATTCTGAATGGTGTATCCATTGGACTCCTCAACTTAAGCCTTGGGTTCAACTCCGTTGGCTTCTACCAGGTCTCCCCTCCTCATTCCATCCATCTTTCAATTTAATTTCTTACTTGCTGCTGTTATCAGATTAGATATATTCAGATGGTGTTACAATACAAATGATCACATGCATTATTTTATTTAAACAAGCAAAGAGTAGTGTTAATGAATTTGCAATTATTTCTAATTGTATGTTGTAACCGTTCAATTGGCGTTGCGTGGGGCAATTGATTTTTGTTTTTGCAGATGACAAAACTTGCAATTATACCCTTCACTGTGTTATTGGAGACTGTCTTCCTAAAAAAGCAATTCAGGTTGGGTGTTGATGAGACAATTAGTTATTTATTTATTTTTTAATAAAACAGTTTCTCATTTATTAATGCTATAAATATTTTATTTTTGCAGCCAGAAGATAAAGTTTTCACTTTTGCTTTTGCTTGTTGGAGTAGGAATTGCATCCATAACTGATCTCCAACTCAATCTCCTTGGATCCATCCTTTCAATTCTGGCTATTGCAACAACATGTGTTGGTCAAATTGTATCCTTTCCAATTTTCATGCATATATATCATATGTACACCATTTTTTCTTTCCTTTCTTTTCCAGCAATATTTTTCCCGTACGTAATTGTATCATTAACCAGTACATAGTTAACAAACACCATACAAAAGAGGCTCAATGTATCGTCTACGCAGCTGCTCTACCAGTCTGCGCCATTTCAAGCGGCTATACTTTTCGTCTCAGGTCCCTTTTTAGATCAGTGCCTCACTAAGCAAAATGTTTTTGCCTTCAGATACTCCCCACTGGTCTTGGTATGACCCATATATCTTAATTTAATTATATTCCTCATGATCATGCATCTTATTATTTGTGAAGATGCATGATGACTGTTTTACGTACGTCCTATGGGTTGGTTGGATATATCATGATGCATTAAACCTTTAATATATATGCAGACATTCATCATCCTTTCATGCTTGATATCAGTGTCTGTGAACTTTAGCACCTTCTTGGTAATAGGCAAAACATCCCCAGTGACGTACCAAGTGCTTGGCCATCTAAAGACTTGTCTCGTTCTCGGCTTTGGATATACATTGCTACATGACCCCTTTACTGAAAGGAACATTATTGGCATCTTCATTGCCATTTTTGGGATGGGCTTGTATTCCTACTTCTGCACACATGAAAATAAAAAGAAACAGGCTGCTGACCTTTTGTTGACAGTTGTTTCTCAGGTTCTTCTCTCTCTCTCTCCAAGCACACACAAACACATTATAGAACAACTTTTACTGGAATTAGAACTGAAGAATTTGGTGTTGATGTTGATACAGATCAAAGACAAAGAAACTGCGCCTCTGCTGGGGGGTAAGAATATGGGCCTCCAAGATAAAGAAAGTCATGAGGTAAACAAGTCTTCCAAGGATTCCCTTGTTTAAATTTTAAAACAAGATAGTAGATATTAAAAAAAAAAAGGTTAAAAAAGCCTTTCAGATATTTTGAAGAGTGTAGGTGTAAATGATTATATGATTCTTTAAATAAGATTTCAAATTCTTCGTTCATTGGGCCTTCCTCTTCGCAGTGCCATAACTTTTAGTTATTGTTTTGGGGCCAAATGAGTGACAAACACGTCAGGGTGTCTTATGTTCTACCTAACGAAAAGTTAATGTTGACGTCGACCTTTCCTCGACTCTTCAGTCTTCACCCTTGGATTCTATATCTTGCTTTAGTTCTTTTGTATGACATTATCTAATGAATTAATGTGCCTACTTAATGAAAGCACGTTGCTTATGTATAATATGCATGATTATAATATAAACATATCATTTTTTGCTCATTAAGACGCCAGCAATCACTCTATTCGACTTCATTTGGTCAATTTTGTTTGTTGTATGTAGCATTAGATTTTAAAACTGGACCGGACCGGATTGGATAGTCAGACTGGAAAGTTGGGAACTGGTCCATTTTAATTTAGAACCGTTATTTTGCCAAAAATTATTGATTTGGTTAGTAAATTGCTGATCCAGGTGGTCAAACCATTTGAACTGTTTAATGGTTTTGGCCATTTTTTATTTTTTATTAGAATGGGCCGTTTGTCTTTTATATATGCTACGCATGACATATGATGAAGGGTGATTTGGCCTGACCTAGTAAAAAGGGGACACGTGGATACGATCTGACCAAGAGATGACAATTCAGCCTGACAAGTTTAGTTTGCAACAATGGAGCTTGCGTATTCAGTCACATTGGTACAAAGGCCATGGCTTAAGGATCACCTCGGAGCAGAGCCACCTTGATGCAGGTCTCACCTCGGCATCGAGGCACCTCGGTACTCAAGCTAGTTCGAAATTAAAAGGCCGAAGTACCAGTTCAGAACCAACAACTCAAATCGACACGTAACCAACTCCAGAGGTCTCTCCAACAACTCTCGAATCCCTCGAGATCATGTTATGGGCCCGAGCGTAGGATCGTGTCACGGGTCGTTCCGCCTTTGGAGCCTCAGACCTTTCCTTGCCCTTGGCCTTGCATAGCGGCCCTATTTTGTCTATCTAGTGGGTGATTTGTCCAAGAGATCACCGAACTCTCCTTTACTCCCTTGCTTGACTGAAAAGTTCGATACCTTTATTCAATAATGGCGCCTCCTTAAATAGGCGATTACAAGAGGAGGTTTCCTTGTTGGATTAGGCTAGGCTAGTCCTAGCGGACTCAAACTCCTACTTCTAATTAGGCTACWTACTTTTAATGGTACTACAATTCCTTCTAAGACTAGGGGATAAGATAAGGGAGAATGGGATAAGGCGCGATCTCTTGACGTGTCCGGATAAGGGTGGGCCCACCCTATGAGCTGTCGTGTGGGCCCTGCTCTGTTGCTGCTGCTAGTGTGCGTGTGCGCGGCTCGTGGTGCCGCCGTCGTGTTCCCTGATCTTATTCTACAGATTTACTTAACTCGCCATCCGACTGGAAGCCAAGTCATCCGCCAATAGGGAACAGTCATCGCACAACATCAACATAGATTACCTTAGTCAGCATTTGTTTGAAGTGTAAATTCAAATTTTATTCCATGAAAAAAATGAACCGATTTAGTGATTGGTGGAAATTAAATCCCGTTGATTTTGAAAATGTACACTTATCTTCTTTGGTTGTCTAGGGTGTAAAAAAATTTACTACTGCTGCTTTTCGCATAAAAACTAGGTCTCAATAGAGCAACAGCCGCTGCATCACTGATGAAGTTTTGGCTCCACAGGTATGTCTGAGTTTACTTGATGTACAAGAAACAAAATCAAATCCCTCCCATGCATGCATCGATCTGTACATCCATTGTTGTTGTGCATCAGTGATGAAGTTTTGGCTCCGCAGGTATGTCTGAGTTTACCTGATGTGATCGATCCCTGAAGCTTGATGAACTACAGATGCAAATGTCCAACTGAAAAAGCTGGTTCATGGATCACCCTGGTCCCATTTAATGAGCCCTCTGAATAGGAAATGCTGCATGATGGGGACCTTCTCCAAAACCTCCACCTTGTACATCTTAAGTATACCGCCATCTTAAGCAATGGCGAGTGCCCAGCGAAAAGTCCTTTCTTAACCTTCCTCACAAAGGAAATACAGGAGAGATAGAGATACTCATGCGAAAAGTTATCTAATATATCCTGATTATGAATGGACTTGGGCTTCATATACTTACTTGTGGTCGATCAACTGAGATGAGCCAAAGATGAATGGCAGGAAGGAAATGGTAGTTGTCCAGACCCCAAACGCCATGTGAACCTGTCGGCTCCAGACACTAAACCGTCTGCAACTTTCTCATCAACTTGAGATACTTCACGAATACTCGAGAAAGAACTGCTTAGTAATCATTTTCTTTTAGAAGCCCTAGCCTAGCTAGGCAATAGAGCCAAGCAGCGAAATTGGTCTCATGGCCCGTGCCGTAGTCGATGCGGCTTGAATTACCGAAACTATCGGTGAAGTAGGGAATGAGCTCGAGGGTGGCAAATTGGAGATCGTCACGGAGAAATTGAAGCATCAAGGATTCAACATTTTCAATCATACGGTCGTGCCAATCCCGATAAGAGTAGTTATTGATGAATTGATTTTTGGTTGATGGCCAATTTTTTGGGCTAAGTACCTCATCATTTGTTTTGCTTCCAAGTGGCCGATGACTTAGAGGCCGAAGTGGAGCTGCCTAGGTGTCGAGCAGCCTATGAGGTGCTGAGTTGACCAGGTGGAGGGCTGCCTGTGAGGTGCCGAGCTGCCTAGGAGCCGAGTTGTCCAACTAGCGAGCTAGATTGATGAGATTCGTTGCTCTTTAGAGACCTGCAAGGAACCAAATGTCAAAGGACCCGAGGTGGCTAATCCAGCGAGGTCGCTCCGATGCTTAAGTCAGTACTCTCATAGTAGACTGTGAGCTAAAAATCACAAAGTATGAGAGCTAGACTTTTCTTACTTGCTTGGTTGCTCACCTTGCCTTCTGGAGTTTGTGTCTTTATATATGCATTGTTTGGCGTGGGCTTCACGCACCATATCCGAGATTTCTGCGAGGTCGTCTAAGTGGTTTGAGATTCTTGGAGGTAACCGCCATGCACGTTGACCACCCTCTAAATCGTTCGGCACGTGGGCCAACTTCTAAGGATCGTGCGAGTGTGAGGATATGCATGTCGAATTCGTCGGCGAACACGCCTTACAAGTCGCCAGGTCAACGCGTGTGCCAGGTCGCCAAGTCGCGCCTAGGCCAGGCCGCCAGGTCGGTGCCTGTGCCAGGCCACTAGGTCGTGCCTGTGCCAGGCTGCCAGGTTGCGCCTGGGCTAGGCCACCAGGTCGGTGCCTAGGCAGCTCAGCACCTAGGTAGCTCCACTTCGGCCTCTGAGTCATCGGCCACTTGGAAGCAGGCCAAATGACGAGGTACTTAGCCCAAAAAGTTGGCCATCAACCAAAAATCGATTCATCCATTAACGTCGTCTGTGGGAAATGCTACAAAAAGCTAAGTTCTCATCCTCCGAAAGGGTAAAAGCTAAATTCTCACCTTTCAGAAACTAAAAGTTCTTACTTTCTAGTTTCCAATTTTTATGAACTCAAAGAATATGTAGGAAGTTGATGGCTAACAGACTAAGCAGCTCTACCAACTTTATTTCAACTCGAATAAAGCCTCATCAGTCCTCTTCGCGAGGCACCCTCTACAAAGATGAGCTCTTCATGGCTTCCGCGGGAGTAGGCGGCCAACAGATTGCATGGACGCCCCTGTCGGTCGAGCCTTCCAAGGCTCCCGTGCGATCTGGTGACCTAAATTCAGTAGTGTTGTCCCCGTAGGTCGAGCTCCTAGTAGCTTCTTGTAGGAGTGGGTAACCGACGTCACTAACGAGGCTGATGCAGTGCAGTCGTAGTTTTAAGGAGCTGACTTGGCGTGGCCCGGCACAGGCACAACCTAGCCCTAGCGTGGTCTGGCATAGGCGCGACCTGGCCCTGGCACGACCTAGCAGCCTGGCCCAGGCACCGACCTAGCGGCCTGGCCCAAGCGCGAACTGGCGAACTGATGAAAGACCTCGGCACTGCGATAAGTCCCAGTCGTCTCTTCGGCATGGGAAAAATCAAGGAGAGTGGACTACGAGTCGCTCCCAGAGCCTAAGGGCTAAGGTGCCAAAATGGCAAAGACTTCGGCACCACATAAGACCTAGTTGCCTCTTCAGCATGGGCAAGATCAAGGAGAGTGGACCACGGGTCGCTCCTAGAGCCTAAGGGCCAAAATACCGAACTAGCGAAGACCTCCTCACCACATAAGACCCAATCGCCTCTTCGACATGAGCAAAATCAATGAGCGAACTGCGAGTCGCTCCCAGAGCCTAAGGAATTGAATCGACACTTACGAGCTCATCGAATTACCCATTCCAGGACAAAAGGAGAAATTTACTCCCTTCGCCGAGTTACTCTCAACTCGGGAGTAGGGGGCAAATGATGAGGGCGGATTTGGCCCTCCAATGATATTGTGACACATGACACCTCAGAACAACTAGGTGACACCCAGAACCACTTTGGCAACAACTTGCCTTTGCCAAGTTAATGGTGTCTTACCTGGCGGCCCAGGCGCGGCTTGACAGCCTGGCCCTGGCACGGCCTAGCAGCCTGGTCCTGGCACGAGCTGGCAGCCCAGTACAGGCACGACCTAGCAGCTTGGCACAGGCACCGAGTTGGTAGCCTAGCACAGGCACGAC